TTTTTTTTTTTTGAAGAGAGAAACACCAGTGTGAGGGGAAAACATCTGTCGGCTGCCTCCTGCATGCCCCCCTAATGAGAATTGAACTGGCAACCTTATGGTGCACAGGACAATGCCCAACCAACTGAGCCACACTTAATTATATTTTAAGTTTGTACATATAATCAATAATGTATTACTCACTTGACTTCATTGTACTGTTGAGCACCTGGCTAAGAAAATACCCTCTTCCCATAAAAAAGGAGCTAATCTCCAGAGTTCTAAGTTTTTCTGAAGAGCTGTTTAGTTCGTTATTAAATGGTTACTACCATTCTGTTCATGTGCGTTTATCAGGTGTTTAATTTATACAATTTACCAAGCAGACAAAGAGGAACCATGTTACTTTTGTACAAAGAGTTGAAGAGCATTACTGTAGGGTTCTTCTCTTGCATTGTTAATTTGAAATTGCATTATGTGAACTAATGCAATCTGCCTTTCCTGCCAGATCATAGACCATAAAGCTATCTTGGTAGTAGGGGAAGCACTTAACCCTAGTGATCCCTAACAGCTCTTCTGCATAAGTAAACAATAAGTAGCCAAAAATTGGATAGTTTTGTCTTGACAGTGATGAGATGAAAAACAAAATGAGGAAATACTTACTAGAAAACCTAATTCACAAGGAAGAATTTAGTGGTGTAAAAAGAGCTTCAAATTTTGAGTCAGACCAACTTTTTACAATTTAATAGCTTTTTGGCCTAAGGAAATCGCTGCCCTCTGAGAGAACTGAGCTTAATTAAATGGAGGTAATATCTAACCCCCGTAGGGTTGTTGTGGAGAATAAAAGTCATTCTGTGCCCTGTTTATCTCAGGTTTTGGGTTCTGTTTAAAAGCAATGATATCAGTACAAACCTGCCTATAGTAGTACAGGGGTCTCTCAACTCAGAATCCAAGAATGGGATTTAAAAGATCCACGAAGCCTTAAGAACTTTTGGGAGGGGGCAGAGGGTTCATTACTTGCCAATAAATTTTCACAGTTTCATTTAAAAATGAAAAGCATTGGTATAAGGCAAAGAATGACTTCCTCTCCTTCTAGGAGGTAAAGCAATAAAATAGTGAGTCTGACATTTGTAACATTTGGCAATAGTGATTCTGTTAACTAAGTTCAATTTTATTACGCTTCTCTGCATTTTAATTTGCCCAGGGCAGTTTTAAGGTATGGATGCTGGACATTCATTTTTACCTCCAGCCCACAGAACTGCCATTAAGCAGGAGCAAGCTAGGGAACCAGGCAGCTTTTGTGTCCTTCCTAGTCCGAATATATTAATATGTGTCTTGGACCTTAAAAACTGCTATATAGAGTTGTAAGCTGAAAATCACTAGGCAGATCATTTATTGGAGTGTAAGGGCTTCTCAGAATTCTGTAGTGTTAGACTCATCTTTATGACTAAAGAGTTTTCACAGTAAGTATTAAGTATTCCACTGTTGAGGTGTTTTGTACAGTTGAGAAGTCTGAGGTATATGAAGTAGAAATGAAAAATTTCATACAGGAATGAGAATAGAAAGGTAGATATTTGCTATTGGTGGGAAGGGGAAGAAGAACAAGTTATTTATCCTTTTTTCAGTATAACAATACTTAGATAAGAATGGGGTTCTTCCTGACTGCTCTAGTAAGAGTTACAGATGACCTGGAGATGTTTGGTGATTAGATGGGCTGTGAGTGAAGATAGTTAAAAGTGAACTAAGAGGAAGTGTTTAAAGGATTAGAAATTGGAATCAGAGTGAAAAACTTGACTAATGGCTTAAGCATATAAAGAACATGCACACTTTTGAAATGATTCAACTCTTTTTTTTTTAATATATCTTTATTGATTTCAGAGAGAGGAAAGGAGGGGGAGAGAGAGGGGGAGAGAGAGGAACATCAATGATGAGAGGGTCATTGATCGGCTGCCTCCTGCATGCCCCCGACTGGGGATCGAGCCCATCCAGGCATTTGCCCTGACCTGGAATCAAACCCCGATCGCCTGGATCCTAGGTCGATGCTCAACCGCTGAGCCACGCCCAGCCAGGTGAAATGATTCAACTCTTAATCTATCCAAAAAGGAAGAAATTGTAAGCCCATTCTTAAAGACTTTTTCTTTGAATACATATATATAGCCACAGTTTGGAAGTAATTTGCTAAACCACGCCATAAGTGCATATTTTATAAACTACTATAAAAGGTCATTTGAGTTTTCATAGTAGAGTGAGAATTTAAGTGCTTGATAAGCAGTCAGTTCAGAATCCTTCTAGAAATGTGTAGTTTATTCTAATCCTTT